TTAGTTTCACAATTTCAGATTTTTCTCTTGCAGATTTGCAGCTTCTTACTTCCAGAGTGAAATGTGAAAAAGTCAGTCCCACGTTGTGCGTGGCCACGCCTCTCCGTGACGTTTGGCTCCGCCCACTTTGGAATAAAAATAGTTTGTGGGCGGAGCTAAGCTTTCACAGGAGGTTATTTGCTCTTTAAATGTTTTCCACATGTGAGAAACATTTCTAACTGTAGGACAAAAGTAAAAGTCTGAACAGTTGGTGTCCAGCATGTGTGAGATCTGCAGAGATGTTAGGTTCCTCTTTTCTAACCTTGGAGATCATCAGTATAAACTTATCACGGTATTTGGTGGCTGTGTTGTGATAACAGGTAGCTATTTATTATTTTTTTAGGTCTGCGTGTCATTTTACCAGCTTTAAACATCGTTTATTGGAATTTATTGTGACGATAAATCAGAATAAGAAATTTATCATGATAAATAATATGATAAATATCCGCCCTTATCCTTGTTTTTACATCTATATTTTTTCCGAAGTTAGTATGTTTATTTACCGTCATGTCCAATAAATCCGGAGAGGATCTCGTTTCTCTCCTGCTCTGCAGTTATTTTGTGTTTTTGGCGGGAAACGAAGCGAAGCTCGTTGATTGACCCGGTTGGTGCTCCAGCCGGGCCCTGATGGATCCTCGCTGCGCATTTTGGAGGGGATTACAGCCATCTGCAGGCTCTTGAGGAACAAAGGCTCTCCTCCCTGCAGCTCTTCAGAGGGATAACGCGGCCCGTAAACGTGCTTTTGGGCTCGTTCTCCTGCCCACCTCTGACCCCTCCAGGCCACCGTAGGACCCCTCACACTTCCGAGCTGAATGTCTCATTTTCTCCCATCGCCACTTTGCTAACCGGAGACACAATTACACACCATGCGCTGGAAACCTTTAACTTTTCTCTTGATTCACATTAAAATCACAAACTCCAATGTATTTAGTTGGGATTTAATGTGTCTTTGCTTCTTGTTCAATTTCTATAAAATTTTAACTAAAGCTGAATAAACTGCAGATGTTTTGATACGTAAGCTAACAGTTTGGTTTCTGTCGGTTCTTTAAAGTTGCTAAAGAGGACTCAACAAATTACTTTTCTATATTGGACAATTAATTTAATTTTACATAATTGCTGCTGTAAGAGACATTTTGCTAAATACTTTATGAAATATTTTATGACGATCGTGACTTTCTACGGGCGAACAAAGCACTCAGTCCAGGTTTTATTGTTCATCGAACACAAAAATATAGAAAATAATTCTGAAAAACTAATCAAAACCACTCACGTTTTTATTTTCTCCTCACTCTTTTCTTTGTCAGCTGCACAGACACCTGTTGCTATGGCAACAAGCTGACAACAGCTCAACGGACCAGTTCAAGTGCATCAGGAGCATCAAGCCCAAATAACGCAAACCGAACATCCAGTCTATTACGGTTTTATGTTTTCAGGCTTCTTGTTTATTTTGCAATTATTAATAAATTAACGCCTTAATAACAACTACCATTTGTTTTAGCTGTCAAGTTGTCAACGCAATAACTGTTAAATGTACATCTGAGATATAAAAGAAAAAGGGGCATTGCTACTAATTTCCAACTAGTCTTATATGTTTTCATTTTGTTTAAAAATAGCGAAGGAGAGGGAAGTAGGTCAGCTATGCTAGCTTGACTATGAGAATTTGAACATGTAGATGTGCTGTGGAATTCAGTGACTTTTGGTTCAGAAAAAAAGGCGACCCACACACCAACTCTGGCAAATCATCGGTAACTCAGATGTTTAAATTAGCTAATCAACCACTGCTTAGCTTAGCTCATAGCAGCAGTAGCTAATCTACCACAGCGATCACTTATTAATATTCGCAAATTGAAATTCAATCTTGAAAACAAAACTGTAATGGACTGAATGTTCTGCTTTTTGGTGTTGAATTCTGATATAAAGAGTAAAATTGTCGTCAGTTGCTATGGCAACAGGTCTGAGTGTAGCGTCGCTAACAGAGATGGCGAAAAAAAGAAAACCAGTGGTTTTGAGTTGTTCTTTAACAGTTTCTTGCGTTAACTTTCCCTTTGCTGTGGCGCATTGCATTTAATTATTAATACCTACATCTACAAGTTTCATTTTATTAACGGATTTCACTATCGATGGATCGGAAGCTTTTTTTCCCCTCCAGCGTTGTGCGCATGCGCGTCTATTTTCGAACGTAAACATTAATTTGCGATCAGCCAGTGAGCGCCAAACTGGTCACAGTTTGGGGTGAGAAAAAGCAGATAAAAACAGTGAGATGCAGAAACTTAAAGTGGTTTCTGACTCAGAGGGAGAGATTAACGGGAAAGCATCGTGATGGCTGTTTTGGATCGGGACCAGAAACGAGCAGATGTGGACGGAGCTGTGGGAAAGATTACAAGGCGGAACCATGACTGGACAGTTCCACTTGAGAAAGATCCAGAAGGGTCGGCTTCAGGAGCTCAGCTGTGTGTTAAATCATTTACACCACGGAGGAGGAGGAAATGAATCTATAAAGGGGTCAGATGGTTCCAGAAAACTGCCAAAAACTCCTGAGGATTTATTTCCAGTGATGCTCTGGTTATCGGACAGGGGACTGTCTGCCTTTTATTTCTATTTATTGGACAAAAATGTAACTTTTTCCACATTAGTCACTAATTAATCCCACACATTTGTTGGGATTTTATGTGATAGATTGAAACAAAGTGGTGAAGCGATAGAAGAATGACAGGTTTGTCAAACATTTTTTTAAAAATCTGGAAAGTGCGTTTTGCCTTTAAACAGCCAGTATTTTCCAGACATTTTGTTCTTAGAGTGTCCAGTAGCTTTACAGACCGGAATGTCTGGAAAAGTTTTGATTTCTTTTCTTTGTTTGTTTCCTAATAGTGCTACAGTCTCGGTTTGATTCAGGACCAAATCTGAAAATGGCAAATTTTAAGATCAATCTCAAAATTTCGGACTTTTTTCAAGCAAATTTTTGACTTTTCAAATTCAGAAATGTCCACGTTTTTTGAGGATTTTTTTTTTACTATTCAGACCTGGAAATGTCCTAATGTTTTTGAGAAAATTTCTGAAATTAACCTCAAAATTTCAGATTTGTTTTTTTATTTCCATTTTTTTCTATCAACATTGACCCTGATAAGCATCTTAAGTTTCACATGCAAACAAAAGCTTTTCTTTAAAAAAGCTGCAAATCTGTGAAACTGCGACAACCCTGACATAAATTCAGGAGGAAGTCTCAACAAGATGACAATAACGCAGGACGTTTAGTTCAGTCAAAACGTCGCATGTTGTATTAGTGAGGCGCTGCAATCAGGCTCTTTGTTTTGGCTTATCAGGCTGCAGCAGTAGCTTCGGTCCGGCTGGACGGGTGTGTGTCCACACACACACACAGGATGCTTTAAAGGGCCAATAAATGGCTGGGCGTTTCCCTGCCTGCAGCTCCTGGTCCAGGTCGGCCGCCTCCAGGACGCTTTGTGATGCTTCAAACTTAAACAGCGTGCAAACTCTGCCAGCTGCTGCATTACTGCGCGCATTAAAGCTCAGGTTTTACTGAGGTGCAGTTTAGTGCAACATGCAGAAACAGGTGCTGAATTTACTGGAAAGGTTTGGAAAATGTTCTGCAGTCTGAGCAGAACGTTTTCAGCTTGTAAAACCTCATAATTACTCCAAAAATAGTTTATTTATTATATTTTTCAGCTACAGAGGTTGCCATTTTTTCGCCTGGACCGATGACGCAGTTAGTCGATCCTAAAAATGAAACACAAGAACGTCATGGAGGCTAACGCATGGATTAACGCAAACTGCCTCAAAGTTTTATTAGCCGTTAAATACGAGGCATCTGCTGAAACAAGCTAACGTGACTGACCTGCAATTGACTGCTTACCATATTAGCCAGAGCTAACACAATTAGCATGAGCCTTTAGCAGGAGCTGACGTGAAACCAAGGTAATAAATGTACAAATGTGATAGTTTATTGTACAGGAGATATCTGTTGATCTACTGATGACTATTTCACCTAGAGCTAACACTGATAGCCAGAGCTAACAGCTTTAGAAGAAGTTAGCATAATTAGCAGGAGCTAACTTGAACTCAAAGAAATTAGAAAGATAACGAATGGATGTTTAAAGTGACCAAGAAGCGTCTTTAGGTCTTTGTACCAAACCATTCTAATATATTTGAGAAAATGATTTGATCCCGATGCTAACGGTAAACAGCCTGAGTTAGAAACTTTTTCCAGAAATGCTCTCCTTTCAGGTGGTACAGCAGACTATCAGGGCCAATAAAACAAAATTATGAGAATAAAGTCATAGTAATGCAAGAATAAGGTACAAATGATACGAGAGGAGCTGTGGTATTACAAGAATAAAGTCATAGTATTATATTTTGTTGGTAATATTATGACTTTATTCTCTTAATTTTATTTTTCTTTTATGTTTTTCTTTATATGACCCTTATGCTCTGCCGTACATGTTGGCATTTCCATAACAAACAGCAAATCTGCCCACGTTGCATTGCATCATAAACAACATGTCATTATTTCACTTTAATTTATAAAAACTAAACATTCTACTGTTTTCACTGTTTTGTTTTTCTAATAAAATGTTAGAAATAACTGGATCCCTGTAAAGCAGAAAAGTCGTTTTTTTCTTGGTGCATGCGGTCAGGATGAGGCGAGCGACTGTGTGGCACCTTCCCCCCGTCCGCCGCTCCCTTAGCCGCGATTTATTGCTTCCTGAATCCAGAAAACAGGAGGCCGAGCACAAGAGGATTCCAACTGCTGTTTTCAGACGACCTGTGACCCCGGCGGCCCTCCGCCCGCCCCAGTGCCCAGCAGTCCCTAAATCTCTCCTGCCTTGCAGGCGTTTTGTTCTGGGCTTTCAGGAATCTGACTGATCGGTACTTGAAGTGACTTACGGCTGAGAAACGTTTGAGGAAAGCAGAACGGTTCAGTTAAATAAGAATCCAAAACGTTTCTCCTTCTTAGACGATATTTTAATAGCACAAAACAGAACGTAAAAATAATCCACAATATTTTTTTTGTTTCTTTCTTTATAAAATTTCTTATGAACATATTTACATTCTGTCTGATATTAACATACATTTACATCATAAAAATGTCAGTATGAGCATTTTACAGTAATTTGGTGTGAAGGTTTTTTACGATCACATGAAACCTGGAAAACTGTTAAACTTATTGGGACAAGACCAAGATGATTTAGGAAAAAATACAACAATAAAGTGAAAATATTACCAAAAGAAACAAAGAATTACAATAAAAAAAGCTGTTTTCATGAGGGAAAAGCTTGGATAGAATAATACACCTGTGTGGTTCTTTATTTGAAACAATCATTTTCATCAGTTAAAAACTTTCCAGGTTTAGAAACAAATATCTGTAATTTCCAAAAACCTGTTAGCATTTCTAGCTGGTTCCCGAAAACCCCAGAAGGAGTTCAGCCTTCCTGTTTTCTACTGAAAGTCCAGGTCTCTCCAAAGGCTCAATGAAACACAAACAAGACTCATTATGTTGCTGAAAACACTTTTTCCTTACTTACTAGAGCTTACAGTGGCTAATGCTAAGTCCTCTTCACTCAGCATTAGCTTCTACACTGAAGAGCAAACCTGGTAGCTCCTGGTTGTGTTCAATGGCTGGGAAAATGTCGGATTTTTCAGATGCCAGCCAGTCGAAACCAGATATGTTGGTGCATCTCTATTAAATTTTTCTTCAGAGGATTAATACACGTCGATATTCATTTTATTTATTTCAGCTGTTATGAAAAGCTGATTTAAAAAAAAAACATGGCTGTTTTGTCCAATCTCCAACTTATTTATTCTGGCAGAAAGTAAACACACATTTTTTCAAATCCATGATGGCAACCTGACCTGCTCTCACATCATCTGTACATATATTAAATTCTCGGTTGCTCTTCTACGCTACATATAGTTGCTTTGTTTTCTCATTTGGTTTTCAGTGCTTGCAGCATTTTCCCTTCTTCCTTTGAGTGCAAATATTCTTCCGCGATTCCTTTCATGAGGTTTTTACCGAACCTCCTCATAGGGCTGGACGATCACAATGCAAACGTTTCATATCAGTCGATATCGATAATTATTGATTATGTTTTAAATATCTGAAACCCTCTCCTGTTTTAACTCCGTGTGTTGTCTTATTTTATTATAATGAACAGTGGGGAAACTCAGCAGCTCGTTGCTAGGTAACCGAAGTTTGGGGGAAGTTGAAACTCCTTCTTACAGCAGGTTGCTAGGCAACCAGAGCGAGTGAGTTCAGTGAATATTCTGTGAGATGTGTTTTCTGTTGGTATTGATCCCATGTGGTGATATTTATCGTTACTGATTTATTGTCCAGCCCTCCCTCCTCGTTAAGAGGACAACTCTTACGTCATCCGACCAAAAACACTGAAGAAAATGCCCACAGCCGCACCAACGGGTGGGATTTCTGTGGGAGTTTTCCTTGTTTTCCTGAGTTTTATACCGACGAGCCTCAGACGACGCACTTGTAAAAAACGTCCAAAGCTAAAATCCTTTCGTCCAAGTCCAGGAAGTCATGCTGAGGATTCACTTTGAGGCTGGCGGCGGCGGCGGCGTGGCGTTCAGCGCCCCGGTTCTCATCCGAGCGTCTCAGTCTACAGGAAGTTCACAGGGGATCTGCTGGGCGGCTTTGGCCACAGAGTAAGTCCTCTGGAAGTCCTTGTAGCGTGGCGCGCAGCCCAGCCAGGCCTCGCCGAAGTGCACCCTGCCGGTGAAGAGGAAGCTGCCGGGCCCCGGTCGGACGCCGCACTGCAGCAGCGTCCGCACCTCTCCGCGGCTCGCCAGCCGACCGCTGCCCGTGAACAGCGTGTACTTCTGACGGAAAACACGGGTGGCGCTGACCTTGATCACGGCGGCGCGCAGCGTTTCGTCCTCCTCCACCGACCGGATGTTCCCTCGAACGACTGCAGAGAAACATGATTCTGGGTGTTTTCACCAAAATTACAACATTTGTTACATTTTGAGCTGCTGCGGTTTTCTTTCCCCTCACTCAAAAAAACCAAACCCTTTGAAAACCTGTTCCCCTCCTGGCCTGTGGGGGCGCTGCACCAAGAACCAGTGAGGGAAACACATGAAAACCTCTGAAAAGCAACTTCCTTCTTTACAAAATGTAACAAAAATAGAGTGGCTCATATTTTAGCAGTTGGAGAAGTTCTCTCGCTAGCACTAGACTAGCGTGTTTGTTTTGGTTGTATTTACCCAGAATGCCCTGCGCTGTAGTCCACTTCTTGATTTTAGAGCTGCCTCCGGTCCGCTTGGCGTTCACATACGCATTTGGACTGAACCAGAGTTCACTCTACCTGAACCCAGACTGCGGTTTGTAGGCCGGCAATAGATGAACTCTTAGACTCTAATCTAAAATGCATTAACCGTTCTGTGTTTCACGCAGGAAAATAATTAGTGCTGCACTGCCTCCAACCTCAATTTCCTGTATAAATAATCAGTGACTTCTGTTTGGAAAATGTGCCTAAAGCAAATATTCATCAAACAGATTTTGCTAAAAAATAACTAAGGTGTTTTTCCTGCTTCACAAGTTTTAAACAAACTTAAACTAAAATCAGCTTCTAAAATGCTGAACTGCCCCTTTAAGGGCAGGGAGTTTAATTCCTGTTAACTTACCGAAGTCGCTGGTGCAAACCGCCATCAGGATCTCGGTATCGTTGCACGGCCGGCAGGCATCTGAAGAGACAACAAGCAGCCGGAGAGTCAGTTGACAAGTCCGAACCGCCAACGTGAAACAAACACCTACATGCAAATCTGAGCCGACAGGAACGTGTCAGACTGGCTGAACCTTAAACTACAAAAACAACAACAGAGGAAATGAAGCGCCGTTGTAAAGCAGACTGCTGCTGCAGAGGAGAAACCAGAGGAGCGCTGAGGTGTGAGAATCCTCCAACACTTTAGAGGGAACGAGCTTCACACCTTAAAGTCTCAACCGGATGAAGAAAACACTGCAAAAACACAAAATCCTGACAAGTATTTTAGTCTAATTTCTAACTACACGAAGTAAAACTAAACAAACATACAGATACCTTTTGATTAAGAAATAGGAGCTTGTTTTAAGTAAGTAATTCCTTAAAATTGATCAGATTATTTCACTTATAGCAAGACATTTTCCCATGTTATCAGTACTAATATTAAGGAATTATTTACTTTAAAACAAGTTCACATTTCTTGCTGTAAAGTTACTTGTAAGTTAGTTTTGTCTTATTTCAAGTGAACCCAGACATTTGCACTTCAAACAAGACCAGAAATACTTGGTAAGATTTTGTCTTTTTTGTATCTCTAGTTGAATTTATTGATAAAAACCAACTGAAGAAAATGAACTGAACTTTTGTTAAAGTTCACTTCTCCCCCCACTCAACCCAAAGTTTCTCCTCTTCAGAGAAAACTTCTTGATAAATGGGATTCCTTCCTCTTTTTTCCAGCCTAATAAGAGTTTTTGGGGGGGCTCCTGCAGACGAGTTGCCCCACAGAGAGGCAGTTCAACAAAGGAGCGGAGCGTCTCAGCTGGGCAGAGGCCTCCGCGTTGCCTAGGGAACCACAGTAATCCCAGAATACTCATTGAGAGGCCTCGGGACTCCTCAGAGCCCCCACATACTGCGCCTTTATGCCCCCTCCTCCTCTGCCTCGGTCTGGGCAAAGTTTGGCTGCTTCCTCCCTCCAACCATCAGGATTCAAGCAGGGAGCTGATGTACGACTGCAGCAGCCGGCAGGTGCAAACAGCCAACAAACACGTGAACTAATGCAGCAGGAAAGTTACAAAATGCTGCAAGAGCAGGAATTAATGCAAAATGAAAATGCAACAAATGTCAAAAACAAAACAGAAGTCCTCCAGACCACCAGGGGGCGTCTGGAGTCAGTAGTTTTACCCACATAAAAACGCTGCTTTACTGTCAAAGACATAGAGTAAAGATGGGTGGATCGATTCAAAATATCCATAATATCAATACAAAATCAATATGGGATTGATACTTTTTTCAGATTTCCTCTTGAACTATTATATTTTTGTATATTTTCCAGCCTGAAGTTTCTCAGCTTCACTGTAAAATATGTGTTGCTTTGATTTGTTCTGAAATAATTTTTGACAGTTAATTTAGAAAACAATGGACACAAATCGGTTTTGATATTGATTTTATGTTTATCATGCTAACATGCTGTTAAACTATTTTGTGGACACCTATAAACTTTATCCAAATACAAAAACACAAAATTATAAGCTTTGTAAAGGACGTACGAACCTGTCAGGTGAATAACGAGGTTCTGGTGACGGGCAGCTAACAAACGTAAAGGCTACATGACGGTCTTAGCTAGCAGCTGAAAGCTAGCTAAAGCCAATTTTTCCAGTTAGGCAGTAAGTACTACAGTACATATCAGTGATTTTTATTATAGTAATACACAGTGGAATACTTGAGTAATAGCTGTAATGCACTTTTATTGTTTATAAGTTAGACAATAAGGAGGCGAGAGCTGGTACGTAGCTTGTGGCTTGTTTACTGTTGTCATGGTAACTGTCATGACAGTTAGTTATGGATACCTGCCAAGATGGCTGCCAGCTACAAAATTACCAGAAGTGATTTGCCACATGAGAGTTTCTGTGGTTCAACTTTAGCATATTTGTTACTGCAGACTCCCCCTAGTGGTCTGGAAGACTTCTGTTTTGCTATGTTTCCTGTAGTTGCAGCATTTTTTTATTTGCAGAGTTTTCTGTTGGATTTGTTTTCTTTTTGTCTGTGTTATGGGGCATTTCGCCATTTGCTCAGCGTTGGTGTCTGAGCCAACGCTGAGCTACGTCGGCTACGCTGACGTAGCCACGGCTACGTCGGCTACCGTGACGACGTCGTTACGTGACGACGAAGCTTCGTCGTCTCCTAGTTAAATGTGAAACCTTCTGGCTCTGACTCGCCTTCTCTGCTGATGGCGTTGGAGTCCAGCGCCATGCGCGCAGTCCAGCCGCCCCGCAGCTCGTAGCGAAAGGAGGCGGTCCGCCTGCTGATGTCCTGATGCGGCGTGGCCTGCAGGAACAGCGCCAGCCTCTCGCCCGGCGTGCGGCTGAAGCAGCGGACCCTGGGCGGGGGCGACGCCTCCATCCGGTCCCCCACCAGCAGCTCCAGCAGCCCATCCCTCTCCAGGTACAGCTGGGCGCCGTGGAACTGCTCCGACGGCTTCACGCAGGCCGTGATGACGCCGCCGCCGGGGCCAGCCGCCGCCACGGGGGCCAGGCGGGGCGTGAGGGTGAGGCGCAGCGCCCCCTTGGGGTACAGCCAGTCCAGAGTTCCCTCAGAGCAGTGCAGGGAGATCTGCTCCACGCTGCCCTGCTGCTGCGACAAACCACTGAGGGCAGAAAAAATTAGAAATTAATATCTATCTACATGCAGAGGCGCTCCCACTGGGGAATATCTATATATATATATATATATATTTTTTTTTTTTCTTATGTGCCCCCCAAGTTTTTATTTCCTGATCTGGCTGCTTCTGAAATCTGTGGGAAGTGAAAATGCATTGCAGTGTGGTGCAGATCTTGTAAAATAGTCTCCATCTTCCCAATTTCATGTTACATACAAAGAGGGATAAAAAAGTTTTTCAAATCCATTTTATCTGGTGCTGACATCTCCCCACTCCACCGCTCACCGGTCGAGTGACGCCCTGGGCAACTGCCCACATGAAAAAGCACAAGAGCATCAGGACATTTCAAACTTTGAAAACATGATTAAACTGAGTTATTATGGGCAGTTCTGTTTTAGAAATCACTTGTTTAAGTTTCGTCATGTTTTAAGGAGCTGTGTTTGTATTTATGGATGTATTTATAAAGTTGCCTCCTAAAAAAAACTAAATCCTTCAAAGTATTTTTGTCTAGTTTCTGTTGGAAATATCATAGCACATTGGAAATAAGACAAACTAATTCAACAGTAACAGCAAGATACAGGAGCTTGTTTTAAGTCAATAGTTATTTAACACTTATAATGAGATATTTTTCATTTTATAAGTCAAAAAATCTTCCAGTGGAACTTAGTGATTTTTAAAACTATATTCAAGAGTTATTTATCTTACCTAAAAGTTACTTTACATTAGTTGTCTTATTTCAAGTGTACTAAAATATCTACACTAGAAATAAGACAAATATACGTTTTTGCACTGTTAAAAAAGAACTAATTAATATTTTGTTTAGCATCAATTTCTATTGTTTTCACAATAGTACCACAAAAATATAAAATTCTCCATGAGTTTACAGATGGTCAGTGGCCCCCAGAAGCCCCCCTCTTTTAACCACCCCTGCGCAGTTATACTGTAAAACTGTTTAACGACGTCCAAGATGAGATTAAAGTAACTTTGTGAAAAATAAAAAAAAAACATTCAGGTTTCTGAAAAATTACAGGAAAGGATCAAAATAATGAAAAGCGCCCCCTGGTGGCTGATCTGTGGGAAAACGGCTCGAGTTCGCATCATGGCATCAAGTTTTGTGAAAACTTCACGAAGATCTGAAAAGATTTCGGAAAAACAGAAGCGATAAAAATAAAAACGGCTCGTTTTTCTCCATGAAGGTTGTCTGGATGAAGCTGCAAACCAAACAGCGGAACCAACCAAACATTTTAATCACGCAGGAAACTTTCAGCATGTTGCATCCAAAAGCACCTGATGTCTGATTTTCACCTGATTTAATGTATAAATAAAACTGAATAAATACTCGCCTTCCTCTCCAGCTGCACTGGTCTTCAGAGTAACTTGAAAAACACGAGTGAAAAATGCCCAAAAGCAAAATCCAGGTTGCGTTATTCCAGCGACCAAATCCAGGCATTTTCAACCACAGTTGACGCTAAAATATTTATCTTTTATTCCCAAACCTGCTTTTATTATTTAAACCTCCCGCTGTGAAGCTGCAGTTTTGTCCGCGGCAGCCTCCATGTCGGCCTGAAGCGCTCCGCAGGATCCCGGCCGCCTCTGCTCGCCTCCAGACGCGGAGCTGTGAAGTTATTCGGCCCGGAGAAACTTCCCGGACCAATCAGAGGCCGAGCTGGGAAACTTTAAACCGGCCGGCGGGGCGGGGCGGAGCGGGACGGGACGGGACGTCCGGCCCAATCAGGAGCTGCATGCTGAGATAAACCTCCTGTTGTGTTGGACTGTCTGCATGAACATTAACCCAGACACAGGTTTGAATAGTTTGCTCGTTTAAAAAAAGCTTCCCTGATATTGTTTTTACATTAAAAAAATATATACATTTATATTTTGTTTTAATTTCTGATATGTTTAAATTGTAGAATCAATACATACATGATGGTGCATTAGGATAATTGTAGATAAAAAAAAAACATTTTCCACCAAATAATGTGATTAATAAATTATCTCTAAAAGTTTAAAAATAAAGGTGGAAATTTTTGGACTTTTCAAACTCTGAAATTTCCTTAATGTATCAGGATTCAACTCTGAAACATTTCACACACTGAGAGCAGAACATTCTGTTACAGATTTATGTTTTCAGGCCTTATGTTTATTTTTGCTGTTATTAATATTCTCTCTCTCTCTCTCTCTCTCTCTATTTTTTTTCTTAAAACTTTTCCCTGGCCTTGTTGACATAGTGTTGACAATTAGTAGCAACACACTGCGAACATTTCAGTTTTGCAAGTTATATTGACAACTTAACAGCTAAAATCAACGCTAGTCTTCATAAGCTAATGGTTTTTTACCCTCTACAGCAGCTAACAGGAAGACTAGCATTGGTTTTAGCTTTTAAGTTGTCAATATAACATTAAAAATTTAAAATGTACATGTGATATATAACAGAAAAAATGGACGCAGTTCTCTGCGACTAATTGTCAACACTACGACAACTAGATGACGAGGTCAGGAAACCATGTTAAGAAAAAAGTGAGGGGGAGGGAAATAGGTCACTTATGCTAGCTTGACTATGACAACCTTAACATAGATGTGCTGTGGAATTCGGTGTTTCAGTTCAATTAAAAAAAAAAACAGGAAAAATATCAACTTCTTTGATACTTTTATTAAAATCTCACTTTGGAAATACAGATTTATCCATTCTAACTGTTGTAATCATGCAAACCTCATCTGATTTATTTTTGTTTTTAAAATTTGAACTTTTACTTTTTATCTTTAAAACTAGGACTTCAGCACATCAGTCATATTAGTCCTGATTCTCAGACACAAGATGGTGATGACATTGATGATGATGATGATGATGATGATGTTGATGATGATGACGATGACCTCCCCCCTCCTCCCGCTGGTTTGACCTTTGACCCCTCCCCTGCTGGGCTTCTCTTTCATGTTGTGGTATTTATAACCAAATCAACAGTCTCTTTGTGCCAGCGCTGCCTGAGCCAGCGACTTTTCGCCGAACATGTCTGAGTGACGGACGTCCAGTTATGACAGGGCTGCAGCTCGGGACAAAGGCGCATCGCAGGAATCCAGCTGTGCTGTTGTCTGCAGCAGGATGGAGTTTGTTTAAAGCAGCAGAGTTTAAAGTTTAAAGCCACAGGCTGCAGGATGAGTGTCCACATGTGCTCAGACATTTTATGGAGTTTATCACGAGTATCGATGTGAATGCATTCATTAGTGCGTCTCTCAAAGCGAAAGCTGACAGAAACCATCCGGTCTCAACTTGACCTGAGCTGCAGTCCAATGCAGACTGGATCAAACCCTAACCACAGCTTCCAGGCTGTTAAGATAAGACAGCCTTACATTTTACATCAAAAGACTAATAAAGATGTTCAGTTGTTTTAATCCAACTCCAGTCCGCTTTAATAGAAAGTCCGGTTCATCTGGAGAGGTATGAATATGAATCAAACTCTGGTCCTCTAAACCTCGATCTCGGTTCGGTTGAAGTGAACTCTGGTCCGGTTTGAATGCATATGAGAACGCTAAGCGGACCAGAGACAGCTTCAAAAGCAGGAAGTTGAGTACAGTGCAGGTAAATCCAACCGAAGCTAACATGCTAGCCTAGTGCTAGCAGGAGAAATGGCTCCAGAAGACAAAAGAGAAATCCTCCAACCACTAATATCTGACACTGCTCCATTTACTACTCCATTTATATTTTGTAAAGGAGGAAGTTGCACTTAGTGTCTTCTTCATCAGTGGTTTTTGATACAGCGCCCCCACAGGCGAGGAGGGGAACAGGTTCCTCAAAGGGTTTGAATCAGTAATTCTTGAATATTTATCTGCTAGTTCCACTGACAGATTATTTCCATGTTACATTCTTTGGAAAACTTAAAAAAAATAAATAAATATTTTGAAATTACTAACTTAAATTCCTCTGTCTTGCTGAATAGTTACTATTAAACTGTTTTTGTCTTTTTTCAAGTGTACTAAGATATGTGCAATAGAAACAAGACTAAACATTCTTGGTAAGATTTTCTCCCATAATAATTACTGTACACTCTACTCATGTGAAATCCCAGCAGAACACATTAAGGTTTGTTGAGGCGAAATGTAAAAAGGTCCAGAACTGATTTTGGGTTTTCAGACACAGAAATCCTGGATCGCCAGTCAGAGGTTTACGTGAACCGGCAGACCTGTTTGTTTCCAGCTCTGGTCCAGAACAATGCCATCTTTGACTGCAGTGAAACACTGCCTGCCTGTCCCTCCATCCTTTGACCAGTGAACCAGATTCCCGCTGAAGTTCGGCTCCTAGCGTTCCCACCACTGCGCCAATGGGAGCGTCTTCAAACAGTGCCTCTGTACGCATACGACGGTTTCCGTGTACATGGGAGATGCAAACACAGAGAGGATGGAGGGCCGTTTGGTGCTGGTCGTGTTTACAGAACCTCGACATTCTCCTGTTATTGACCTTTTCTCAATGTTACACAACCAAACACACTGTTTCTGAACTTTCCTGTCAGCAAACTATTCTGATTCTGATTCTGAGTCTTTTACATGGTGCCTGCAGGGAAGGCTGGTGTAGAATATCCAGAAAAACCTCAGCACAGCAGCGTCAAGCAGCCAGAAATGCCCTGATGGAAAAACCGACTGACCTGAGCTGAGAAATGGAGATGTCCTTGTTCCCATAGTTTCTGCTAATCTGGTTGATCTGGAATCACTGCTGTTTGTTTTATAATAATCTATCTGCTTATGAAAGAGATTTTAGACCCTGCCAGGCAGGACACATTCAGGAATTTGCAGCAGTACTTTGATTTTGCTTGCTACCTAAATATTTAGCTTCAAAAAATTAACAGCAATATTTTTATTTAGCTTGTTTGGAGATTCATTTGGCAAAGCCATGTCTTCATAATGTTATTGTTAATTTATCAAGATCACAGTTTCAAACTTAATATTTAGCTCAAAAGCTAAATATTTACCAAATAGTTTAAGCTAACTATTTAGCTTCTTATTAAAATATTTAGTTAGAATCTAAATTATTTTAAAGCTAAGTAATAATCTTACTAACTAAATATTTATTTTGAACTTAAATATCTAAGTTCATATCAAATATTTAGCTTGCTACCCTATTATTTTTGTTTGAATATAAATATTTAATTTGAAACTAAATATTTAGTTTGCTAAATAAATACTTAGCCTCAAGCTTAATATTTAACTTTAGACTAAATTCAAACTTAATATTTGCTAAATATTTTGTTCCAATCTAATTATTTAACTTACTAGCTAAATTCCTGCTTTATTAAGCATTAAACAAAATAATTAGTTTAATACTTAATATTTAGCTTCAAACTAATTGGCTTGCTAAGTATTTATCAAGATCACAGTTAACTTGCTAAATAGTTAGCTATTTAGCAAGTTAGTGAAGTATTTAGCTTAAATGTTTAGCTTTAAACTAGATATTTAGCTCGCAATTTAGCTTCACACGTTGCTTGTTAGCTAAATATTTAGCTTCATGCTAAATATTCAGAGGCTAATGAGACATGTTCATATCAGCAGCTGTAAGGTTTTATCCGTAACATTCCGTTTGTCCCAATTGTTCACCAACGTCGGACCTAATTTTCTAGGAATCGTGCTAGCGGAGCTGCTTCCGGTGAGAGCGACGGCGCGGACATGTTCCCGCCTCTCCCTGCAGGTGAGGCTCGGAGGCTGTGAGAACGGCGCTAATGTTTACCATGTTTCTGCCCCCATGAGAGCCGCATGTGAAAACCGACACCTGCGCTCCCATTACGCTGTATCAGGACGGCCACTGAGGCTTGTGTTTGTTTGTGTAACAGTAAATTTCTCCTCTCCGTCGTGTAGCGTGTTTGTGTGCGACAGAAGCCCAGTGGGAAGCGGAGGCCTGGCGCAGATAAACAGTGAGGGAGAAAATGGCGGACACAGCTGGAACTGGCTTGGAGCTTTCCTAACATCTAATAGATCACTTCACGTCCCCTTGAAGTGTCTCCTCTGGGATGCAGTAACTTTTAAAGAGGTTTGTGTTCATTTCACATGAAACATCTCAAGTGTAATAGCCCCAACTTTCTCACAGTGCAGAAATACAAATTCACCAAGTTTGGCGTCTTAGTACACTTGAAATAAGACTAAACTAACTTAAAAATAACTTTTTAGCAAGTGGTTTTTGCAACAGAACTAATATTTGTTCACCAATATTAATGAAATATTGACTTAAAATAAGTTTCTGTATCTTAATGAAAAACTACAACTAGTTTTGTATTATTTCAAATACTAGAAACTTGACTAAAATACAGTACTTAGTCATATTTTTGTGTTTTTCAATTGTTCAAGGCCTGATAAAGGATGCACTGCAAAAACACAAAATCTTACTAAGTAGACGTTTCCAGTGCAAATATCTCAGTGCATTTTAAATAATACAAAACTTAGAAGTAACTTTTCAGCAAGAAAAGTTTAAGTTAATAATGTGCAAATACTGATTAAAAAAAGGATTAGACAAAAATAGTTGGTAATATTTTCTTTGTTTTTTCAGTGATTCTACCACAAAATTACTTATAGATGTAAGAATACTAAAGAAAGATATAGTAAATGTCCCCACAAATTTAAATTAGAGATAAAAAAAAAAACACACAAAATCTTACCAAATATTTTTGGTTGGGTTATAAATGCTAATATTTTAGTACACTTAAAATAAGACAAACTTTTCAGCAACATATAGGAGCTTGATTTAAGTAAATAATTCCTTAATATTGATTTGAAAAAGGGCTAGTTCCATTAGCAAAGTATTCCACTAACAACTATATATTTTTTCTAAGTGAGTTGAGCTAGTACTTTGTAAAATCAATATTAAGCTACATGGGAGCTTAAATCAAGCTCCTATATGTTGCTGAAAATTTATTTCTAAGTTAGTTTAGTCAAGTGATATTTGAACTATAATCTAAATTGGTTAGATTTTGTGTTTTTGCAGTGTATGTATCAGTTTCATCTCTGACTCTTTGTTACACATTTCCATTTAAAAAGACTCATCATGTGTGTGTTTTAATATCAATAGCCTTTATGTGGTCAGCAGCACCAAATATAACCTAATTATGGCAGCTGGGGTCAAAGGTCACAGCTGGGTGCCTTTAGGACTTGGAGGCTGTGCTGAAAATGGAGCTGCTGTGCTGGAATGCAGGAACTTCCTGTGTTTTGGCTTCTTTTGTCACTTTGATATATTTATTCAAAATATGTTTTAACAAAAGAAAAATGATTTTAAAAACCTTCTTAATCAGCTTTTACTCTAATATATTCATTTAATTATAGTTTTTGCAGACATTTTGTGCAAATGCTTATTTTGAAGTGCGTTCAGTAAAAATCATGGTCAGTTTCCTTCATAGTGAACAGTTTTCATCTCTTTTAAACAGAGTTTATCTCATTTTTTCCATAGAAAATGTCTTCTGGCTGTGATTGGTTGTGGGTTTTCTTTAGTGTATACCATAGAAAACAACTGGATCATTTTTTCCCCGCCTCAAACAGCTGGCGTAAATAAACACCGTCATTGTACAGCAATGATATTTTGTTCCTGCAAACCCCAGAAAGATGCCAGAATCCCACAGCACCTCATTTCCATGAGGTAGAACCTAACCTCATGGAAATTTCCCCAAACATCTCCAGGTTATCAGTTAGAGTGGGAAACATGGAAAAAACGGGGATTTCACTGCTTACATGAACAGGAAAGGCTTTTTAAGGTAAAAACGGGTCGACTCAGCTCTCTGCGCTGTTTGGTGTTTTTATATTACAGTTGGGCCGAAAGCAGCACGGCATGATTTATATTGACCCGTTGGAGTGTGACATCACAAGATCCAGCCCCACAACTTCCTGCTGGAGGGCAAAAGGCTGCTTGCTAACAATGACTAGCATTGGTTTGAGCTGTTATCAACATAACGCACTAAATCTTAAATGTACGCCTGAAAAAAAAATGGACGCAGTGCTTGGTTACATTACAACAACTCGATGACAAGGTCAGGAAACGGTGCTAATTAAGAAAAAAGTGAGGCGGGGGGGGGAAGCAGGTCAGTTGTGCTAGCTTGACTATGACAGCTTTAACATGTAGATGGGCTGCAGAATTTGTGTTTTGGTTTACTTAAAAAAAAAAGGCAAACTAAACATCAACTCTGACAGATCATCAGTACAGTAGGTGTTTAAATTAGCTAATCAACCACCACCGTGTTAGCTCAGCTAATAGCAGCAGCAGCTAATCTACAACAACAATCACTTATTAATAATCACAAAATAAACATCGAGCCTGAAAACATAAAACTGTAACAGACTGAATGTTTTGTTCTTTGTGTGGGAAATGTTTGAGCTTTTTGGTGTTGAGTCCTGATAAATTAGTTGCTATGGCAACGAGTCTGTGTTAGCCTCTGGTCCTCTGGTCTTCTGGTCCTCTGGGCTTTTGGTCCTCTGGTCTTCTGGTCCTCTGGTCTTCTGGTCCTCTGGTCCTGTGGTCTTTTGGTCCTCTGGTCTTTTGGTCTTTTGGTCTTCTGGTATTCTGGTCCTCTGGTCTTTTGGTCCTCTGGTCCTCTGGTCTTTTGGTCCTCTGGTCTTCTGGTCCTCTGGTCTTCTGGTCCTCTGGTCTTCTGGTCCTCTGGTCCTCTGGTTTTCTGGTCCTCTGGTCTTTTGGTCTTTTGGTCTTCTAATCTAAAAGCTGCAGGACTGTAGAACTGGGTTGATGTACAAAGTTAATAAAGCCTCAAAAAACCTGCAACGGTTCGACAAATGCAAATCGACGCCACAGTTCACCGTTATTCTATAAAACATTTTCTTCTACTTGGAGGTGGACAGTTATCGTATCGTTTATCATTTATTGGGTTAAATTTCTTGTGATAAGATTTTTGACGATAAATTCCCTGATAAAACTCTGAGTCCTTGTTTTCCACCCGTACTTCCTGTTCATTATCAAACATCCTTTGTCTCAAGCATAAAAACCTGATTTCTTTTTTTCCTTTTAGCTCCGTCCATCTTTTGTCAAAGTTAATTGATGTCAATAATGAAACCAGAGAGTTGTGGTAATTCAAACAGGCAGGAAGAAGAAAATCACCGACCGCCTCAAACATCACTGAGCTTTGAAGAGTTCAGCTCCAAAGCAAACAACCCAAACTCTTTTCAAGTGGTTCCTGCTGCGGTCTAGTCAAAGGGTTTGATTTTTGACGGCCAGTGTTTGATTACATGAGCAGTCGCTGCAGAACGTGCAGGAAGTTTCAGCGGCTCATGAGGCCTGGAGTAAATTTAGACCAAAAAGAAACAAAAACCATGATTGTAACCAGACTGAACACATCCACTCTAATCTTTATTTATCTGCTTTATTTTTATTTCCTTATGAGCTCAAAATCTGAACTTATGCTCTATTTTTATCCAGATGATGGAGAAGTTATTAAGCCAGGAGTAACTAGTTACTTTTACCCTTGGCTGGGTCTGAGGTTGGTGCTGTTTGGCCCGGCTGGGGGTCAGACCCGGTTCACCGCGGTCTCGGCCTCCCTGCCCCCCACGTCTCGTCTAATTGGCTGAATCAGTTTGGAGGGAAACTTGACAAGAAGCAGGATCCCTCCAAAAATCACAATAGGTGCAGTGTTTTACATATTGTCTGCAGACAGATGTTGTGGCTCCCGCCTGCATCTCAATACGTTTCTCTGGACACAAAGGAGGAAACACAAAGCGGCTGCGTTTTGGGGCTCAGTGCATAATATAACCGCCAAGAAGTTTTTCACACATTTCAACTGGAGAAATATGTGATTTCACATTTTAACCCACAAAATAATCCGTATCAGTTGGTGAAACCAAGACTGCAACAAAGGGAAGTTTGTTTCTTCTGTTTAAAACTTGATGTGCTTGTTGGAAGGGTTTCAGAAATGTTTTATTTATTTCATATGTAGAGCTTCTGATGCGTGTTGGAGCCGCTTCTCGGTCCAACATTAGCATCTCAATGCTAAACATGTAGCAGCTAACGCTAATGTTAGCGTTAGCTGCTACGTGTTTCTAAAGAAGCTCCATAAGCGATCAGCTCTCCTGATCATTTAATTAGCTAAATAAGAGACTAAAAACAGCAAATATGTTATTGAGCCAATATGTTTATTCCAGCGGTGGGCAGAACCCAAAATGAAAAAAAATGATTCAAGTCAAAATAAAGTGTTTGGTAAAAAAGTCTAAACAAGAGCAGAGTAACTGATCACATTATCAATCATTTAATATTTAAAATTCATTAGACCAAATTATAAAGTTAAGTGGAAATTTGAGTATTTTATTGACAAAAACGTCAATAATTCATAAGTTACATAAAAGAACAAAATCAGGCAAAATAATTTTTTCTTCCAAATCAGTTTAATTTAATGTGAAACTGATGAAACTTTAACTGAAACTGCAGGTTTGTTTCTGTCTGTCTGGTGAATATTTGGTTAAAACATGTTTGGTTTTCATTCGGTGGGGAGAAAATCTAGAAGTTTTACTCAAGTAAGAGAAGAAATGCTTCATAATGACTCAGGTAAAAACTACAGGTACATTTTACAAAGAATTACTCCAGTAAATGTAACCAACTTCTACCCAACTCTGGTTTATTCAATAATTTAGAAGTAAAAATGTTTCTTGAATTGAAAATGTTGCTGCAATAGTTTTTGATTAAAATGTGATTAATTACTGACCATGTTGTTAACCACATTACAACGTTTAATCGAGTCCCACCGTTAATTTCTTGTTAAAAACTTCAGAATTACATCTTTTCTTTTTCTTTTGCTAAATAACTTAAGAGCCCCCCCCCCCCCCACCTCCTTGTAACTCCTTCTTCTCTGAATAGATTTCGGTCAGCCTATAGGTCATCCTAGGCTGAGCAGGGAATAATTGGGCTGCCTACACACACACACACACACACACACACACACACACACACAGACTTTAAAATTTAAACCCCCACTCCCCAGACAATAGCCACATGCAGCTCTCTGACCCGCCGCGCTCTGCAGGCACAAAACCTCCCTGTTTATCCTGAGT